TTCTTTCTTAATGTTTCATATCTTCCCTCATGTTTGCAGAGCACAGACCATAGGTAGGTTCTTGAATGAGAATAGATTAAAATATATTTTATGCATATCTGAAAATGTGATTATTCTATCTTTATGTTTTTCTAGTTACTGTGACTTCATCATGTGTTATGATTATTATGTTCCTCATGATTTTGAAAGCATTGCTCATTTCTGTCTTCCAGTTTTGCTAATGAGAAGTCTGATGTCATTCTGATTTCTGATTCTTTGTATAAACCTTTTTTTTCCTCTTATCTTCATCCTTAACCCTAATGTTCTATAATTTTGTGATGATATATATTGCTGGGGATTTTATGTACTCAATCCCTGGAAAAATGTATTTCATTAATAATTTCCTATCTTCCATGTTCCTTATTCCCTTTTTAAAAAAAAAAAAAAAAAAAAAAAAAAAGAAGGCCCATTTGAATCCTGGCCTTTCAAAGGAAAATCCTCCACTTTCCTTATCTATTTTGTTATGCACCTCTTTTTGTTCTGCCTTCTGCAAGATGTTTTCATTATTTCTTTTAGCCATTTTAAAATGTCTACAATTTCTTCAAATGTTTCTTCGTATGTATCAATTCTGCTAAAACAATTTGTTTGCTGTTGCTTAATTTTTAAGTACTACTCCATTCTCCCCACTGCCAACTCCTCCTGTGCAATAGGCCCTCCCTTATCTTCAATTTCACTTTTATGCTTTCAGTTACCCATGATCAGCTGTAGTTTGAAAATACTAAGTAGAAAATCCCAGAAATAAACAGTTCATAGGTTTCTGTCCCTCCTGGGACATGACTCTCACTTTGTCCAGTAAATCCACACTTTATGTGCTACTCACCAGTTACTCACTTAGTAGCTGCCTCTCCTGTCAGGTCTGTTGTCAAGGTATTGCAGCGCTTGTTTCCAGGTAGCCCTTTTTTGAGCTACCAAGGCAGAGAGGCCACATTCACATAACTTTTATTACAGTATAATGCTGTAATTTTTGTCTTACCATTAATTATGGTGTTAAGCTCTTAGTGTCCATGACTTACAGATTAAACTTTATCATAGGTGTGTCTGTATAGAAGAAATAACACAGTGTGTAGTATGTATAGTCAGTACTATTCTCAGTTTCAGACATCCACTTGGGTCTTGGAACACAACCCCTGAGGATAAGGGGGAGGACTCCTGTATTCCTTTGGTCTATGTCTTTCATGACAGATTGTCAACAAGACTCTAGGTAATAATTTTGAAAGCAATATTTGCAACTAAAACATACTGTACCTTTCTGTTTTCCTTCACCAGTGAATATATAAAAAATGTTACAATATCCTGCTCCTAGTCTTAAATCTTGGTAGATTGTTTTCTGTTTCTTTCATATGCTTCTTTTCCTAATGTTAGAAATGTAATTGCTTCCCAGGGCTCAGCCTAGGTATTTTGATCACCTTTTGCTTTGTTATTTTAAGAGACTTTCATTGATCAATATTCCCATGTAAACAGTTCCACATTGCATGTTCTTTTTTGATATATCACCGTTATTCTAAGTGAAACAGTTGAAACTGAGGACAGCATTGTTTATGATTATCCCACAGTGCAGCCCCTTTTTCTTCAGCATATTCAAAATCATATAACCATTCTCCAAGTGAGCCATATGGAAAATTATACACCTTACTTGATTCTACTCTTTCAGCTCTTAACTAAAATTCTCATCCAGTCATGGCATATCTTCCTTGTAATTGTCTGATTTTCCATTTCTTTACTCAAAACACTAATTTAACCTCCCATCATCTCTCTTCTGAAAGCCATATAAAACAATATTACTATTTCCTCTTGCTAAAGATAGCAAATTTCTCTTAACGTGTTTTTAAATTAATTTTTGATGGAGCAAGAAAGAAAAAACAAGGGAACTCCCATCTACTGGTTTACTCCCCCAAATGTGGGCATTTGCCAGTGCCAGGCTGGGACCAAAGCCAGGGGTAGAATACAACCCATGTCTCCTATGTGAGTGAAAGAAATCCAATTACTTGAGCCATCACCACAGCCTCCCAGGGTGTGTTCCAGCAAGAAGCTGCTTTCAGGATCCAGAGCTGGAAATCAAACCCAGGCACTCTGATGTGGGATGTAAGCATGTTAACTGCTAAACTAAACACTTTCTATTACAAATTACTCTTCTAACAATCTAACTTTTTTAAAAAAAGATTTATTTATTTAAGAGGTAGAGTTACAGACAGAGAGAGGGAAAGGCAGAAAGAGAGGTCTTCCATTCTCTGGTTCACTCCCCAGTGGCCACAATGCTGGAACTAGGCCTATCGGAAGCTAGGAGCCAGGAATTTCTTCTGGGTCTCCCATGCAGGTGCAGGGTCCCAAGCACTTGGACCACCTTCCACTGCTCTCCCAGGCCATAAGAAGAGAGCTGGATCAGAGTAGGCGCAGCTGGGACATAAACCGGCACTCATATGGGATGCTGGCACCACAGGCTGAGGCTTAGCCTACTACGCCACGGTGCCAGCTCCCACAATCGAACTTCTTTAATGAAGTGTAAGGTCATATACGTTCATGCCATTCTCATCCTTTAAACTCCAATATCCTTAGCTTAGCTCAGAATTATTTTTACTATTGTTATATCAAAGGTTATAATTAATTTAGCATCTTGTGTGCATAATGCAGGTTTCACACATTATTAGTTTCATTAGAATGGAAATTTTGATAAATTTTTCTGTGGTCTTTTAGATAAAATATAATTTGAGATACATGTGTAATACCTGAGTAGGTACTCTGTGAAATATCTTATTGATGATCCTATTCTTACTTGAAAATCTTTAGTGTAAAAACAGTATCATACAAAAAATCATGTTTAAGAAGCAATCTGTAAGAATATATTCCTAAGGCTGGCACTGTGGCATAGTTGGTAAAGGCGCCACCTGAAGTGCCAGCATCCCATATGGCTGCCGGTTTCAGTCCCGGCTGCTCCACTTCCGATCCAGCTCTCTGCTGTGGCCTGGGAAAGCAGTGGAAGATGGCCCAAATCCTTCGGCCTCTGCGGCCACATGGGAGACCAGGAAGAAGCTCCTTGTTTCAGATTGTTGCAGCTCCAGCCATTGCAGCCAGTTGGGGTGTGAACCAGCGCATGGAAGACCTCTCGCTCTCCCTCTTTCTTTCTCTCTCTGCCTCTCCTCTTTCAAGTAAATAAATAAATAAATCTTAAAAAAAAAAAAAGAATCTATTCTCAGAGTTTCATGGTTCTTCTTACATAAAAATCACTTTCCTGTTTAAGTTAATATCACAGTGTATGTCAAGTATGCCTGAGATATTTCCAAATTTTTGTGGTATCTTAATTTGCATTAAGCATATGATATACTCATGTGATGGAGATATCTAAGAGATTGATGGGAAGTCATTTTGTTGAATTATAGGAAAAGGAGTATGTTGTAATTGTTTTTGACAGAAGTGATGTAAAACTTTAACTTTGTAAAGTGAAATAGCCAGATTATGATTTGGATAAATTGTTAGACATTGTGGTAGGTATAATCCAGGGACTTCGCTGGCCCCATACTACCATACTTCTTTTCCCAAGTTGCTAATTCTGTGTAAATGTAGATCCATGATTTGTTCTTCTATAGTTGTTCACATTTTTACTTAGGTTAGGAATATTTCACATATGAATGCCTGCAGTTATTCCCAGCATGTGTGGAGCGTCCTAAAAGAGAGTGCAATCAAGACTGCTCTTCTGCATGAAGGATGATTTTTGTGAAACTAATTTGTGGACAGGGCAGCTAAGCACTGTTTATTAGGAAAATCTATAGATGAGTGACATGAGTACTTATGGGGACTTTTAATAATGATGTATTAAGGGAGCTAGTGCAGTATTTATATAATTATTGAAAGGAATAAAATTTCAATCCAAAAAAGCAACTATCTGCCAAATATATATATTTGAAAGTTTGACATTGCTAGAATAAGCCGTAACCAAGTTTAAGTCTTTTTCTGAATATGTCATAGGGTGACTACAAAATAAGCAATATGCTTTTCTAATCTATGACATTCACTTCTGTTCATCATGAGGACCCTAACCCTGTAGAATTGCTAGATTCCCAAACAACTCAGCAAAGAGAGAATCTACTACATTTAGCTATACTTTTAATATTAGGCTTTTTATTATAAATTTCAAATGAATTTACTTATAACATTGTTTTAACTGTGGCTTTTGATAACTTGTAATGCATATATATTCCCTTGATATCTGTGGGTTTTGATTCCAGGACATCTGTGGATACCAATATCTGGATTCTGGAGTCCCTTATATGAACTGGCATAGTGTTTGCACATAATCTGTGCACATCCTCCCATAAACTTTAAGTTGCTTTTGGAATTCTAATAAAACAATATCCACACATCACTTTTATGTGTACAGATTCACTTTGTACCCTTCTTATAGTATTGTGAACAACAAATTCAAATTTTGCTCTTTGGAACTTTCTGGAATTTTTTCATTTGAATATCTTTGATCCATAGTTGGTTGAGCCTATGTATGAGGGCCTGTAGAAATGAAAAACAAACTAGATATTGAGAACATTTCATTTGCAAATCAATTTAAACACTTAGTTAATATTTATTATTTTGATTTTAATATATCAATAGAAATACTCAATACTAGGGACTAAGATTTTCTACCCCAGGAATTTCTAGGCCTTTTGATCATTTGCTTTCTTTTGGAAGAGAACTCTGCTAACAGCCCCATGTACCTGTAATCTTACTTTCCATCCCAGTCAGCAATAGGCCTGAAATATTCTGGAATTTCAAAGCATCTCCTAAATTGATATAAGGCTACTGTTTAACATTTTTGATCTTTTACAAGAGAACGTTTGCTATAAACTCTTGTAAAGACATTGTAAGCAATATAATGTGGAAGTTATTAAGGACCTCAACATGATCCTTAAGCCAGATGTTACTTTTGTTTACATGTTCATTTTTCTTACATTTGGTTTGGTTTCTCCTTTTAGGAATGGCAAAATTCTATTCAGAAGAATGCAGGACTTGCATTTATTGAGCTCATCAATGAAGGAAGGTAATTAATTTTACAACTTTTGGACAACTAGTCAGCATACATTTGATTCCAGTGGGCAAGTGCTCTTTCCTGCCATCTGTACCAAAAATGTGTAAGAAGATATCTTACAGTTAAATAATTTACCACACAGGTACTTAAACTTTAAGTTAACAAAGTTTAGAGTGGCAAAAACTTTTTGGAAAAAAGGCATGCTTAAAATAAAAGGACAAATTTTATAAGATTTTTATGAGATTTGAGCCTCATCATACTGAATAGTAAAGTTGTTTTACACAGATCAAGTGAACACAATCTGTAATCCCATCTGCCACTCCATCTGTTTTCAGAGCAGTGTTCAGTGTTTACTCTCAGCCTCCCATCCGTTCATGTGAAATTGTTTTATTAGAATATGTCATGTACTTACTGTCCAACTGAAAATGCAAAGGATATTAAATATAGGAAGTATACCAGTCTTGGTTAGGAATTTATATATACCATTCTTAAAATGATGCTGTAAGGAAATTATGTTTAAACCTATTAATGCATGCTTTCGTTTTTGATGATTAGTTGAAGATGATATTTGCAGTGCTTTATTGGAAGTGGCCATATTAAGACCAATGTAACTGTCACCATGTGACATGTATAGCTTCCATGAGCCCACACCTGCATCCTTTTATAACTTGATTTCTTGTGTGTATGAAGGCACTTCAAATGGCTTAGGAAAAATGAAAGTAAAAAATAAGTTTATTTTGTTGCAAAACAATTTTGAAATCTATGTATAGTTTTTTCATAATGTCCAATTTTCAGACTTTTTAAAGATCCATCTTTACATAGACTTAAAAAACTTTTACACAAAATTAACATTTTTTGATTTTTATTTATATAAAGGGAACATATTTTATGTATTTCATATATACTGTTTTAAGAGTATAATAATACTTTCTACCTTATGCTCCCTCACTTCCACCCTCTTTTCTTCTTTTCTTATTTTTCTTTTAATTTGTATAATGACATACATTCAGTTTACTTTATAATCACAAGCTTAACCCTCTAATAAATACAGAATTTAACAAGTAGTAAATAGGAAAGCTACTGTCCCTCAAGTGTATAGACAGGGACTACAATCATCAAATATCAATTCCATTTTCCACAAATTTTACTTGTATAGTGTATCCTTTGGGAAATAATGATGGCATTTGACATAACATATTTATTTCTTATTGAAACCATATTTAATTAAATTGATAAGAATATAATGCTTACTGTATTTAAATTTATCTTTGACTTTAAAGGAGACTATCATGAAAAAATATTCCTTGAAAATAGTTTATATAGGTAATTTTTTTAAGATTTCCTTATTTATTTGAAAGGCAGAGTTACAGAGTTAGAGGGGAGAGAGAAAGTACTTGTGCACAAGAGCAAAATCTTCCATTTGCTGGTTCATTTGCCAAACAGCTGCAATAGCAGGGCTGAGCCAGCCGAAGCCAGGAACCAGGAGCTTGATCCAGATCTCCTACGTGGGTGGCAGGGGCTGAAGTACTTGGGCCATTTTCCGTTGCTTTTCCCAGGAGCATTAGCAGGGAGCTGGTTTGGAAGTGGAGCAGCTGGGACATGAACTGGCACCCATTTAGGATACTGGCATCACAGGCAGTGGCTTAACCCACTGTGCTACAACGCCAGCCCAGAAACACAACTTTTTAAAGAATGTTAATGTATCATAATATTATTCTGTTTTATTGTTCCGTATTCTGAGACGCAGCTGTGTTTTTAGAACATTTTATCATATTGTATATTTCTCATGATTCTATTTTATGACCTAATCACTTTTGTTATAAAATAGGACCAAAGCAATGTTTTACATTTATTCTAACATAAAAGATGCAGAAAAATAACTTCTTTTGTAACAAAAATAGTATAATAGCATTCACTGTTTATACAATCAGAGAATTGGTGGTAAGTATTACTCCCTTTCAGGCAATGAAAAATAGAAAAAAATATTTGCCAAAGCTAATCATTGTTACATCAGTTTTAGAAATAAGTCTTAGGTCATATATATGCTTATTTTGTTATTTATTTCAACTATTAAATTAAAGAAAAAATCATCTCACCAAAAGTAAATCTCCAAAGAGTTAATCAAATTGATCCTTTAATGCTTAAATTAAGATTATAGTTACTCGGAGCCAGTGCTGTAGCTTAGCGGGGAAGGCCGTCGCCTACAGTGCTGGCATCCCATGTGGGCGCAGGTCTGAGTCCTGGCTCCTGGCTCCTCTTTTCTGATCCAGCTCTCTGCTGTGACCTAGGAAAGCAGTAGAAGATGGCTCAAGTCCTGGAGCCCCTGCACTCGCATGGGAGACCTGGAGGAGATTCCTGGCTCCTGGCTTCAGATCGGCCATCTGGGGAGTGAACCATCTGTTGAAAGATCTCTCTCTCTGCCTCTACCTCTCTGTAAAAGGCGAAAGATTTATACGATCGGAAGAGAAACCAGAGTATCTGCCTCTACCTCTCTGTAACTCTGCCTTTCAAGTAAATAAATAAATCTTAAAAAAAGAGAAAAGATTAGAATTATTGACTTAGAAAACTAGAACAAGGATGGAAAAAATACTAATATTAGAGATTGTGAGCCTCTGATATTTTTTTTTTTTTTGACAAGCAGAGTTAGACAGTGAGAGAGAGAGACAGAGAGAAAGGTCTTCCTTCCGTTGGTTCTTGATACGGTTTTTTGTTCAATGGTAGATCTTAAAGTTTGCTTTGTTTTAGGAAAGCAATTAGAAATAATTAGAATATTTTAAAATTTTTAAACTATGAAAATCTCTGAAATGCGCACCATAATGTTTGTTGTCCCAACCTAAATTTATATTTCCACTCTTCATGGTAACTGTTCCTTCAAGGAAAAAAATGATTTTGGAATAAAAATTCAACATTAACAGCTGTAAGAACAAATAATGATGAAATGTTATTATAAGAGGTAGGAGTAGGGGGGGTGAACAAGATAGACACTGTCCTGATTTTTTTTGGTGAAGACAAATATTTGCAGACAAATAAAGGATGCTATGATAAGGGCAGTATGAGCACAATACAGTCAAAGGGGAAAGCACCTGACCTAGTCTGAAGGGTGCATTCCCCCAAACCCCACCCCACCATGGTAGAGATACCGGGGCTTTTGACAACTACAATCACCCAAAGGAAATGCTTTCTTAGATGACACCTGGAACTTGATTATGAAATAGCAAAGTGGAAAGCAAAAGTAGAGGAACAAGTCTTAAGCAGAAGGAACCATATAGTGCAAAAGCCTGTAGGCAAGGGATGGCAGGATATGTTCTTAGAAAGCTATCATCAGTCATCTAACAGCTGTTTAAATGCACATTGTGTGTCAGGCACAGAGAGAGCCAAGGGCCATCCCCTCACGACAAAGGACATTGACAGAGGTCATGCCAAGAAGGTGACTACAAGCTATGCTAAGGGTGCTGGTGATAACTGAAAAGATTTAGACATATCCTACAGGATGTGAGTGGATTCAGAGGCTTAAGGCTTGAATAGGGCCCCTGATGTCAGGTTTCAGAAATCCTGTTGAAGAAGATGATGCGTGGATGAATCATGGTGGCTGCAAAAGTGAACAATTTTGAAGTACTTTTTGAAAATTAAATCAGCAGGACTGCTGATGGACGATGGGAAAAAAGGAATCAAGGATAACTTGATTTCTGTGCTTGATAACTGGATGGTTTATATTTCGTAAAAGCAAAGTTCACTTAACTAAAACAATAAGGGAGCAGAGGTGTGGGTGAGTTCAGTGAGAGATGTTTTCACCCTGAATTTATCATATCTGAAATAGCCAAGTGGAGATATCACACAGGCATCAGGACTTTTGGATCTTGAGCACTAGAGAGAGAGAGAACTGGCATGGAGATTTAGAGCTGGGAGTCTCCAGCTTGTACAGGGTAAATTGTGGAGTAGAATACACATGTGATGCCCAGGGAGAATGTGTAGAGTGGTGAACCTAGAACCACATTTTACTGTTGTGCTTGGTGGACTCCTCCTCCCCTACACCTTTACATATTTTCTCTCTCCTTTCCTCTCTCCCCTCCCTACTCTCTTCTTTCCCCTTTCCTCTCTCCCCTCCCCCTCACTTCCTCTGTTCTCTTTCCCCCTTTCCCCTTCCCCCTCCTGGCTCTCTTACCCCCTCTCCACTCCCCTCCCCTCTCCACTCTCTTCTCTCTTTCAAAAGCAATCAGCTTAAATGTCACCCATGAAGTTTTAACAGTTAAAAACCTCTCCTTACATAATCTACTTTACTTTTTTACATCTACCTCCTTCACTAAACAGTATTTTCCTTAAAAACTTGTATGTAATTCTCCGTTGTATTTGATGCTGTATTCTTGAGTTTTGCATTTCTTGAAGAAACTAAAAATCACTGGTAGGAGTGAATGGTCAACAAGAAGATTTTAAAGTTAGGATTAAAGGAGCCTACTGCATTTAGTCACAAGACTAAATGCTGACCTCATGATGTGGGTGTAGACTTAATCCCTGTCCTAACAGAGCTTCCAGTCTAATGAGGCAACAGTCTTAGATGACGTGATGTCAGGTACAATAACTGCCAGTGGGTGAGTTGAGTGTGTTCTGGGAGCAGATAACTAGGGACTTATTTTTTGATGAAGTGGTGATTTACAAAAAACATGGGCATTTGCTTTCAGACTTTTACTTTGGTGAAAACTACCTCTTCACTGAGTACCGCCTACCAGCCCCCGTCCCCATCCCTAACCCAGTGTAGGGACTTCCCTATTTTAGCTCTTCCATTTCCCCTGGATTATGTTTACCCTGCTGTAATGTTAATGCCTGTATATTTGTGGTGTGGTTTTGTGGCTGTTTCCACAGTGCCTAGTGTACGATATACCATGTTTATTTGTCTGTACTAGCTCTACTAACAATTCTTCTCCCAATGAACAGGTGAACTCTGGGCATAGAATATAATCCCATCTCACATTGTTTCAACCTGCAGGCTTTTGTAGCTGCTTTCTTGCTCGTTTCTC